TTTTCTCTTATTGGCTTCTCACTCTCCAGCTGACCACAGCAAGATGACCAGTCGTGGTTCTGCAGGTCACCTACTCCATAACATCTTTACTGGAACAAGCCACATGTTGGTTGCCATTTTCTTAGAATTTGTAACATTATTTTTAAAGTCCAAAGCAGGCTGTGGCGGGGATCTTTAGGGTTCTAGGATCAGACATATGCTGAGTGCCACTCCCCAGTTCTGCACCTTTAGAGCAAGGTGCCTCCCACCATGGTTCCGGACCCATCAGCCGTCCTACCCAGATTTGTGTGCACATTTCCCTAGTGGTCTAGTAATCTGTCTTTAAAGCGATACCTCGTGGACTTTGCAGTTGTGTGGGTGGGCATGCCCAGGGCTCCACAGGGGTGAGGCAGAACTTCCAGGCCATCCTCAGGCCAGAGCAGGCGCACAAGCACATGTAAGTTTTGATCCTAGCTGCACGTTTGTCCCACCCAGAGCTGAGCGTAGCACCAAGCTGTTACCCTTCCAAGAGCCTATCTGGGAGCAGTTAGCAGAGGCAGGTCATTGTGCCTGGAGCCTGGAGGAGGGACTCAGAAAGTCAGCTTCTAGCCTGACCTGTCCACAGACCCTCCTGCTATTCAGCACTGGATGGGTAGGAACCATGATGAAAGGGAAGGAGCAGGCTCCATCCCATGGAGGGGACTGTCATGAGAACACCATGAAATGGCCAGCTCCTGGGAGGCCAGGCACGTGGAACAGCTGCTCTGTTCTGTGTCTGCCAGGAGAGTGCGGAGGTCCGTCCCTTGGCCTTGCCATTGCTGGCCCAGACCCCCAGACTTGCACACTGGCTGGCTGGAGAGGACTAAGTCATCCGCCTGACTGCTCCCCTTGAACAGGGACGCGGAGGGAGGCCCGAGGGGCACGCCCAGGTGCTTCTGTACTTCATCTGCCTAATTCCCCATTTCCACCCTAAGCAGTTGGATAAGTGGAATTGAACAATCACAGCTCACAATGCCACAAACTAGAAACCCATTTGTCTCTCCTGACTCCTCTGCCACCTCTTAATTACCATATTCACCTTTATTTACTGTGAATATTAGCACAGATGCTAAATATCACTGTGCCAGTCCTACACCAAAATCCCTGAAAAACAGAAAATCTTGCCGTATTTTGGAAAATAATTTTAAATAGTTGTAGCACTCTGTCTAAACACTTATCAAAGATGCCTAGATATATATATTTTGGATTCCTGACCTTCACAGATGGATTTTTATTAGTCAAAACTTGCTTGAGCCTGAGTTGAGATGTAGACACATTTTCTCTCTCTTTTTCCCTCTGAGGAATGCTGGGGATGGAACCCAGGTCTCACACAGGCTAGACCAGCAGTCTGGCCCTGAGGTGCACCTCCGCCCTTTTCGGTTTGTCTTTTGAGACRGTCTCTCTAAGCTGCCAGGCTGGCCTTGACCTTGAGCCAAGTGCCTTTACCTCCCAGGCAGCTGGGATCATGGTGCTGGAGGACGGGCTTTGAATGGCATGAAGCTGGGAGGTCAGCGGTCAGGCTACCTGGACAGCAAGCCCAGGAGTGAGTGTTCCCTGGAGCATCTGTGTGCAGTTTTTCAGAGTTGGGTCTCTGTTTCAGTCAGCTTTGGTATTGCGGTGACTGAAAGAACTGACGAGGAGTATTTCAGAGAAGGAAGAGGTATTGGGGCTCACAGTTTCCGAGTCTCAGTCCACAGATGTCCGCCTCCATTGCTCTGGGACTGAAGTGAGCAGGCAGACACCATGGCAGAAGGGTGAGGTGGGGGAAAGCAGCTCAGTCCGGAAGCAGAGAGCTCCCCTCTCAGGGACAGAGTACAAACCCCAAGGACACACCCAGTGGCCCACCCTCCAGCCACCGGTACCTGCCTGCGTCACCTCTAGCTGATCCACTCAGGAGGATTCACACACATGAGCTTGGGCCCTCTGTCCAGTCCTTCCACTGCTCCACTGRAGGTCCGGGGCCACTCCCTCCTAACCCCAGGGGGCTCCTGGCTCCCCTTTCCACTCCTTTCTGTGACTCTTACCCTTCACACAACTCAGTGAATTCAACCTTGGCTTCTGCCTGCCTCAAGCTACCCTCTTGACAGCACTAAGCAACAGAGAAACGGACCATTCTTTCCAGGACAATGGAGGAGCAGTGGGGTGGGGTGCTGGAGCTCAGTTCTGGGGTCACAGCCTGAGGGCATTCAGCTCTGGTCCACAGGCCTCTTGCCCGTCTGCTGGGAGGAGCCACATGGCAGGGAGAGAGCAGGTCCCAGTGTGCAGGCTCCCGCTGGACCCGTGGCTGTGACGCACACAGGACGGGACCTCAGGACGCAGCCTCAGGAGCTCGAGGGGTCTCATGGGTCTTTGTCAGCTTTGTGCCCCTGGCAAGAACAGCCGTGGGGAGACAAGGCCATCTGGGCTCCTGGTTTCAGAGTTCCCCTCTCTGGTGGCCTGCGGGCTCCACTTCTCTAGGCCTGAGGTGAGGTGAGGGTCATGGCTGGAGGGCGTGGTGGTCAGCAGCTCAGCTCATGGCTGACAGGAAGCAGGGAGAGAAGAACCAGGGGACAAGATATAAACCCAAAGGCACAGCAACAGTGACCTGCCTCCTCCAGCCTCCCCCACCTCCTGCAGCCCCACCCTGTGACTGCAAACTCACAATCCACAAATAGGCTGGTCCCCAGTACCTCACACTCCCCATCCAGCCACCTCTCCTCCTGTAGACGCCCAGGAGCTTTGGAGGGCCATGTTATAGTCAAACCTAACAACTGGATTTATGAAATTCAGTGCATTTAAAACATTATCTCTCTTCCCTGAGCCTCAACCTGAGGAAATTGTGCCCTGTATTGGGAGAAAGGGGAAGACAAAGATTACAAATTAAACTCTGTTTCCAAAAGCGAAGTCTCACATTATAAAATGGTACGCTTGCTCCCTTCAATGTATCCTTCCTGATGGCTTTTCTTGGCACAAACAAATAAATTTCTGAAGTTCAGTACAAAACCATATAAAGTTACTTACAGTAGCTATCATCATTTTTAAAGTAAACATGATTAAGCATAAAAGAATAAATGCTAAAGCAGCCCTTTCAGAATGCTTTTTCTAAATGTAAATTACTGGAGAGGCCACCAGAGCTCATAAGTGGGGTGAGCTCGGGCCCCATGGACATCTAGCAGGAGTGTCGGAAGTGTCTCGGAGCCAGGCATGGCCCTGCTGATGCAGCTCCTGAGCTCAAGCTTAAAGCTGCACAAGAGTGGACGGCTGGGATCCCTGCGACTCTAAGTGAGGATGCCCCTCCGGTGTTGGCTGGCCTGTGGCTGCTCACATACAGGTGTGAGCCTAGAAAATGAAAACCCTCCTGGACTAATGGACCAGGAATTCTTTGCTTTCTGCTGAATTTCTTTCTGCTTACACTTCTTTAAACATCTATGTAAAAGTAAAACTCCAGACAATTTTGAAACTCTTTACATTTTAGTTTCTGGGGCTGAAAGAGAACAGAAAGGGAACCACGATTTATTGATTCAGTGTCTACTATACATTGAGCACGATGCTAGACGTTTTAGCAGTTATGGAATGCTCCCAGCAACAGAGCCACGTTGGCAGAGTAAAAAACATTCGAGAGCCACTGTAACTGAAGCAGGATTAGCACTGCATAGACTAGCACTGGCGTAGAGGAGAAGRGAGTCCAAAAGCAGACCCAGCAGGAATCCAGCAGGCAGCAGGAGGGCCGGGTGGGGAGTGGGCTGCTTGTTAGTCAGTGGTTAGTGGAAGAACCGTCTTGCAGCTCCAGAAAGAAATACCATCGCCCTCTGAGTGCAAAAAGATGCCTGGAAGAACAGAGAATTAAATGCAGGGAAGAAAACAACGCATGCAAGTCTCATCACAAATGGTGGAAATCCTGGTTTTCACCTTAGTGGGTGAAAACTTAGCTGGGACCTCAGCCGGGTTGAAAGCTCTCTCCTAAACCCCTGTCAGTGCCATTAGTGCAGGGTTTTGGCCAGAGGTGGGCAAGTGGAGCTAGCAGGGAGGCCACTGAGCGGGGAACTACACGTGCCCACTGCAGGAAGTCCCACAAGCCTGGTCACCATCTCCAGGCACAGCTTGGGCTCCCAGGAGCCAGCTGCATGTTTCCAGATTTGGGGGTCTTTCACATCCTGCTCCTCTCCTAGAATCTCTGCCTCATGACTCCTGTTTTTATCCTGAGCTCCCAATTAACCTGTAAGACTCAGGTCGACGCCATCTCCTCCAGGCTCCCTGCTCCTCACCTGGCTCCATCACGCCAGCCGGAGAGCGTGACGCAACTCACTTCCCTCACAAAACATGGAGCTCCTTTCAGAATTCCTTAGGAGAATAGGGTTTCGTCCATACCTCTGTGTCCCCAGGCGTCCTCGGTTTCGGCAGGACATAAAATGGCAAGCTTTCTGCCACTGCAGGTGGCCTGAGACTCTGGTGGCTCTGCCCCCATCACCTGGCCCATGCTGCCCTAATGGACTCCATAGGGTGCGCAGGACGCCCACCTCCACCCTCAGTGTGTCTGGATTCAGAAGCTCAGTGTCCCAGGCACGTACCTGGCAGTGGAAGCACCCTGCTGAAGCGTCCCTCTCCTCTGACCCTCTGTCCTGGCAGACTCCCCTCACAGGGAGAAGGCACACCTTCTTTGGCCTATCTGTCACGTTCTTGGTACAAAGCACACCTCAGAATCACACAGATGTGTCTAATCAAAGCCCCGAGAAGAGAGTGAATAGTTCCCACTTCAGGGTTGATGGACATATATATACCCTGCTGCAGAGCATGGAGGCCTCCCAGTTAAATGTTCCCACCAGATCAGGGTCAGCTGACTATTCCTAAAATGATTTGCATGGACGGCCTGAACCTGGTCTGCCACGGCCCTGCACAGCCTGGCTCTGTAGAGCCCCGGGGACAGCATGCTGGGTGGGGGCAGCTCCATACCCTCTGGGCTGCACTGCAGGGCCAGGACTCTGATGCTGCTCGTCTGTCCCCAGATGGATGTGGACGCCGAGGAGAAGCGCCATCGCACACGATCCAAAGGGGTTCGAGGTAGGCCCCCTGCATCCCATCCGCAGTCACTTGTGTTCTCTGGTCACTTTGGTGATCCTGACCCCCAACACCCTCTGGTGATTTCCTGGGGGGGTGCCCATGATAGATGATACAGCTCACCTCTTCTCCATCTCTCTGCAGTTCCCGTGGAACCAGCCATACAGGAGCTGTTCAGGTCAGTGCTCTGTGGGTCAGGCCTGCCCCCACCTGCCCTGCAGACACCCTCACCTACAGTGGGCACTGCACTCAGCTCCCCGCAGCCTGCCACACCCCGCTGCTCTGCTGACATTGCCCTGGAGACTGGCTAGTGAGCGGCGACCCCTACCTGTGGCTGTCTGGGCGCCTCCTCCTCTGAGCCGTGGTGCGCGGCTGCTGGGTAACCTCTTCTTTCCTGTTGCAGCTGTCCCACTCCTGGCTGTGACGGCAGTGGCCATGTCAGTGGCAAGTACGCCAGACACAGAAGGTAATGCCTGCCTTGCTTGCTGTGCTGTCTGTGGTGCCTGGCTGCCCGCCTGGTGGTGGAGATGCGGGTAGCTCTGGGAGGACTGCATGCCGTGCCCTCTGCTCCTCCCCTCGCCTCGCCAAGCTCTCTGAGGACAGCCTTCTGCCTCGGAGGAGGTTCTCACCACACAAGCCACCCCAACTTTGGCAGATGATGAGGCCCCAGGGGACCACACACGTCAAGAACGTCCACTCAGCAGGCAGGCACCAGGGCTGCCCAGGGCTTCCTGGGAGAGCGGGCTCCTCCTTCCCATTTGCTCCTCGCAGTAGCCGCAAGACAGCAAACCTTAGCAGATAAATTGAAGTGGGACCTACTGACCTGGGAAAGGCCGCCTGAACTTGGCACCTGGGCAGCTGCCATGTGAGGGCAGTCTGGGGTGCCAGGTGGGTAGATCACACCAGCCAGATATGGCGGAAAGTGACAGTTWCGATGGGTGTGCAGATGGTGAGGTGGCCAATGGCCTAGTGGCTGGACACTCATCCCAGCAGGAGCCACCGCCTTCCCATGGCCTGTGGCTGGACGTGGCTGGCCTTTTGTGGAGATCCAGGGTTTCCTGGGGGTGCTTTGCTAACTGTCGGGATTTTGGTGGAGGAATGAGCTCGCTCCATCCTGAAAAGCCCTCTGTGGCCAGGCCCACACCACCACTCCTGAGTGGGGCTGCAGTGGCTCTGGGTGACCTCTCCCCGTGCCTGTCCAGTGGAACAGTAAGTGATGGGTGAAATCAAGCAATTATTTTGGCTGTCCATTAGTGAAATTAAAGGAAAAATTACAAACTACTCCCCAAGGCTGTGGTAGCCAAGCAGGTGGCCAGGTAGTGAGTGCCATGAAGAAAGGGCCATCTGCCACCCCGTTACTTGCCAAAGGGTCACCAGACATTTCCCCCACCAGGAATTTTTTATTTAATTTACTAAATTTGATTAATTTTGTTATTGTTCTTGTGGCGTGAGATAGTAACTTTCTGGACAGCGTCGCTGACGTAGGCACAGCTTGGTGCGCTGGCCAGGATGTCCACCTGTACGCTCCCAGCCTCCAGGCTCAGGGCTGCTCTGTTTCCAGCAGAAGCAGATCAGCACATTATGAGCCAAACGGCTGCATTCTGCTACAAAAAGAAGTTACTACATTTGGCTACAAAGTTTTAATTGAATATACTCTAGGTATAATTTTATAGCTACAGTTTTGAAGAAAAAAATATGAAGTTCCCCCAAAATTATTTCAAAAACACATTGGTTTCCGTGCCCTGCAGGGGATTGCAGGGGCATCGATGGGCACACTAGGCCTGGCAGCCCCTGGTGTATGCAGAGGGCATCTGCCTCTGCCCCTACTTCTCCCCAGATACCCATGTCCTCACCAAGGTGCACTCAGTTGGCACCAGATTGAGGTGCCCTTTCAGGAAGCACGTGTGCTGCTGCCCATGGGGCTGGAGAGTGGGGCCTCGCCTTCCTCCCAGCTTGGTGCTCACATGTGGCCACAGAGGCCCAGGAATCTCAGGGAGCTAATTGGGCGGGGTGTGGGAGGGCTCGTGGGGAGCCACGCTGGACTGTTGCCCACAGGTTCTGCCTGATCTTACACAGCACCGTCGTGTTTTTACCATGACTCCCCCGTCATTACTAGGATTCCTAGTACCGCCGAAGAAACTCGCCATCAGGAGACTCGGTGTGGTGTAGTCGGGAATGAACTGCCCCCACTATCCAGCATGCACAACTGAATCTGGTTCCCCCATACCACCAGGTGTCCATGGGGCCTGGAAGGAGGCCAACACACAGGACCCTGTGTCCCTGGCTGCAAGGGGGGTGCAGACTGCTGTGTAGGACCCAGCGCTGTTCAGAAGAGAGGCCACGGTCCAGACTTGCAGGGGTCTCTCTGAGGTACACAGGGAGGTTTCCTAGGATTTATTTATGTTTATGCCTGCACAGTATCAGTAATTTTTAGCTAAAGGATGACATTCCATTTCTTAAATTGAAACAAAAATGCTGCCTATTGTAGCCAAAGGTGCATGTATGTTAACATCTTATAACTAGGGCTATTTCAAGAGATTCRGAAGGTTTTGTGTATACCTGGCTTTGTTTTCTTTGTTCTTTACAGTTTTAAAAGATTCTACAGTTGCAAAGTTTACTTTTGTGACAGCTACTTGTGCTGCGTCACCTGCTCAAGCTGCCTAGGAGCAGCTGCAGTGCTGGCCTGGGCTGGGGGTCCCTGGTGTGGCTTGGCACCTCGTGCCTTTCAGAGGAGAAGCAGAAGCCTCAGCCTTGGCCACGGCAAGATCACCTGTCCTTTTTAGTCATTTAAGAAGACACTGTTACCCATGTATCCCCTGAGGCCAGTTTCACCTTGCTCATGTCCCCTCACTTGTGGCCAAGTGGAAAGGGGCTCTTCTGGCACGGCCGAGTCCCACCAAAGAGGCAGGCAGTAGCGTGGGCAGAAGTGGGGGCCACCAGCGTGACGCATCCTGGGGGATGACCGCCACATGATGAGCCGCCCACTTTTCACCCTTTGCTTTCACATGAGAGACCCTCAGTGCGGCCACCTCGTGCTCTGCCCCCGAGTCCTGCTGCCCTGGGGGTCACTCTGAACTTCTGGTAGCATCCTTGGGGGTGGACGGCTTGTTTTCTTTTCCTGTGTGAAGGACAGAGGGTTGTGGGTTTGTAAGAAACTGGGAATCAAGAAGAATCAACCACCAAATGAAACCTGAGAGAGGAAACAATATTTTGAAAGAGGGATGCAGATTTTTTTAAATTTTTAATTTGTTCTAATTAGTTACATGTGACAGTCGAATGCACTTATGCACTTTGATAAGTCACACACAGATGGGATATGACTTCTCATTTTTCTGAGTGCACATGTTGCAGAATCACACTGGTCATGCAGTCATATAGATACCTACAGTAATAATGTCTGCTTCATTCTACTATCTTTCCTATCCCCTCATCCCCTCCCCTCCCTTCACTTCCCTCTACCTAATCTAAGGTAATGCTATTCTTCCCTAGTGCCTCCAACCTTATTGTGAATTAGCATCCACATATTAGAGAGAACATTCGGCCTTTGGTTTTGTGGGATTGGCTTATTTTGCTTAGCATGATATTTCCAACTCCAACCATTTATTGGAAAATGCCATAATTTCACTCTTCTTTAAAGCTGAGTAATATTCCACTGAGTAAATATACCACATTTTCTTTATCCATTCATCTACTGAGGGACACCTAGTTTGGTTCCATAGTCTAGCTTTTGTGAATTGAGCTGCTATAAACATTGATGTACCTGTGTTACTGTAGTATGCTGATTTTAAGTCCTTTGAGTATAACCCGAGGAGTGGGATAGCTGGGTCAAATGGTGGTTTCATTCCCAGTTTTCTGAGGAATCTCCATACTGCCTTCCATAGTGGTTGCACCAATTTACAGTCCCACTAGCAGTGTATGAGTGAACCTTTTTCACCACATTCTCGCCAACATTTATTGTTGCCTGTGTTCTTGATGATTGCCATTCTGACAGGAGTGACATGAAATCTTAGAGTAGTTTTGATTTGCATTTATCTAATTGCTAGAGATGTTGTACACTCTTTCATATATTTGTTGATCAGTTGTATTTCTTCTTCTGTGAAGTGTCTGTTCAGTTCCTTAGCCCATTTGTTGATTGGGWTATTTGTTTTTTGGTGTTAAATTTTTTTGAGTTTTTTATATATCCTAGAGATTAATGCTTTATTAGAGGTATATTTGGTGAAGATTTTCTCCCAATCTGTAGACTCTCTCCTCACTTCATTGTTTCGTTTGCTAAGGAAAAAACTTTCTTAATTTTAATCCATGGAATGCAGAMTTTAAGATCCTGGTTAAAACTGGCGGGTAGGAGTAAGGTCATAATATTTGTTTCATGAATATTTTACATTGATTCCAAAGCTGTATCTTTGAACAAAAGATATTTGTAGATATTTATTTGTGTTAACAATTCATGAAGTATTTGAGTAGCTGGTAAACCTTTGTTCAAGTGCAGTTAAATGTGGAAGTTCAGCATCTATCAGGGTTTGTGTAGTATTACATTAGGCTGAGCCTCCTACAAAGTACAACTGTGACATATATTTATCTTCAGAAACATCATTAGTATCTGGACACAGGCATCTGCCATTTGTTTTTCCCAACTGAGATTTCATATTAGTAGCATATAAATATCACAAAACGCCATGAAATTTACAATCAGGGCAAGAAGTAATTCTTGTATCACGAACCCAAATGCGACCTCTGTCTCTCCTGCGCACGGTAAGCCTGGCCTCTTACTTTGCGCTCTCATTACCATACAGCTGTGGGGTGGCTCAGTGTCCCACCACCCAGCCCTCACGACCTCCACCAGGTCATGCTCTGAGGTAGCTGGACACATTCATGCACCTCACACCTGGTCCCTCCACAGAGCTACCCCTTTCAGAGGCACACACTCTGCTTCAGTCACCCCAGGTCTTTTGGGTTTAGGTCCCTGGACCCGGGAAGGATGTGCCCTGTAGCCATGGCCTCCACACCTGCACTTCCTCCAGCCCCAGAAGGCTGGCTGTGGTCCCGTGAGCTTTGAAATGCCAGAGACAAGAGCCCCGTCGTGTTCCCAGAGTGACACCCGGGCCAACGGGGTGCAGGGAAACGCTGGGATGCTGGGTACTTGGAAGCCACCAAATCAGGGAGTCACTCTTCTCCTGACCTGCCCAGCAGGGAAGGCTCCAAGGTGGCTCCAGGCCCAGGCGGGCAGCGTGTTGTGAGCAAGCCACTCAGCGCAGAGGCAGCCTGGGCTCTGCTGCCACTCAGCTCCCCACTCCCCACCAAACCCTAGCAGGAGGCAGGCTCTGGGGTGGGACTCATCCCGTGTTACTGTGGCATCCCACAGACGGAAGACTGGCACCTGTGGGCAGAGCAGGGCTCTGTCCAGAGAAAGCTCTCCTCTCCCTACACTGTGGCTGCTCCAGCGTGTGCCACCGTCCGTCAGGAGACACA